GACTGCTTGTCTAGCATACAGGAGGCAGTATTTTAAGGTTTTAAGATTTATTTTTCTCCAAAACCACAGAGAAACCCTGTCTCGAAAAAAAAAAAGATTTATTTTTATCATTTATGTGAATGTTTGTGTGTAGGTGCCCATGGAGGCCAGAGAGGGCACTGAGTTCTCTGGAGCTGGAGTTATAGGTGGCTGAGTCTCCTGATATGGATGCTAGGGATAAATAGAACCTGGGTCCTCAGCAAAAGCAACAAGCACTCTTAACTGCTGAATAATTTCTTCTGCACCCCCAACCTGTGTGTACACATGGGCATGAGTGTCATGGCATGTATGTAGAGACTGGATGAAACAACTTTCAGTAGTTCCTTCTCTCTTTGAATTATGGGGATTCTGGAGATCTATCTCAGGTTGACAGGCTTAGTAATGAATACCTTTACTTGCTCAGGCATCTTGCTGGGTCTTTTTTTTTTTTGATAGAAGGGTTTAGGCTGGCCCTGAACTTACTATATGGCTGAAGACCTTGAACTTCACCTCACAATTAATTGCTGGGATTATAGGCCTGCACCACCATACCACCAGTGAGGGGTATGTGTTTGAACAAATGGAACTGTAACATAGGATTTAAGTTTAAAACAATGTACCTAGCATTTCTCAAAGGGATACAAAATACATGAAAAGGGGATATTACTGAAGTAATAAGAGCGGAAGCGAGGCTGCATTTCAAGCACCCCGGCCGCCTGCTCGGCTAGCTTTACCCAAAATAATTACACGGACACTGTATTCTTTTAAGCACTGCTTGGCCCTTTAGCTCTAGCACTTACAGGCTAATTCTCACATCCCGATCAACCCATCTCTAATAATCTGTGAGAACCGGTCTTACTAGGAAGATTCTAGCCTAGTCCATCCTGGGTCGGAGCTTCAGGCCGGGAGCGGGGCATGGCGTCTCTCTCAGGCGTCTGCTCCCGAGAGGAGAGCTGTGAGTCTCTGACCTCACTTCCTCTTCCTCCCAGTGTTCTGTCCTGTTTTCTCCTCCCACCTATCCTCTAACCAATAAAATGGGCCAGGGCAGTGCCTTTATTAGCCAATGACCTTCCTCCATCATTTCCCCTTTTTCGGTTTAAACAAAAAAAAGGCTTTAACATAGCAAAATTACATATAACAAAACAGTTATCAAGTAAAAGTTACAATAATCTTTATCATAACTAAGGAAAACTATAACTAACTATTCTTAACTCCATCAAAGACTCCAGAAAGATACACTACTACCTAAGCAAACAAGAAAAAAGCAACTTTCAAACTCTAGAAATGACAGAGACATCTCGCTGCCTGGACAGTCACCCAAAGTTGCTCTGTACCGTTGGGGCATCCATCTTCAGCCTTCAGGCCCATGGTATCCAGCAGACATTTCCATAAAGCAGGAAAATTCAAAGTCAGTTCAGTCACTATCTGTTGTGTCCTGCAGAATGTCTTGCAGACTCTTTCATGAATCAGGAACCCTGAAAGATCATCTCACCTTAGGCAAGTTCAGTAGTCCTCTCTCTGTGGGTTCTGTGTCCAGTTTATGCAATAGTCCAGGCAAGAGCAGTTTCTTGCCCAAATGGCTATCAAACTCCATAAGGTGCCTCTTCGATGCCCATCTTCCTCTTTAAGTAGATTGGTGCTGCCAGGAGCAGAGTGTCTCATTGTTATGAAAAGTCCTAAGTTATTAAAACATTTAAAATGCCATATTCTGTAATCTTTTAAAGACATGAAGAATGCCTATCTAAAATATATCTACGCACATCTAGAAAATCTTAACATGACTACAAACTTGACTATTATTTATGATTATCCATCAACAACCTGTATTTCCTAATTATACATTACATTTTAATAATGAACTACACAATCACAACACCTTAATCAATATCAGAAATACATATACATATAACAGAATTGACCATAAATCTCTAGCAAAATCTATACTAATGCACATTATTCATACCTATATCATATCCCCCTTTAAATGTAAAAGAACGTTTATAAACCATATTTGGGAATATGGGCGCAGTTTTTCTCTCCAAACTGCTTCCAGCTGAATGGGGGCGTCGTTAATTAGGCCTTTCATGGTATAACCTGTTTGCTAGTTTCATCTCAGTTGGCAGTTGAGCGAAGTAAATTTTCTGAAGATGTTCACTGCAACCCTTCACGAGGGCGTGGTCCATCATACCAAATCGGAATAGAAGAAATGAACAGGGTCTCATCCTCTGTGAAAACAAAATAAGAAACTCCTTTCCAAAGCATCATGTCCTTAGATCCAAATTTCAAATTCAAGGCATCAAAATATCTATGTTGGATTAGCTTAGCAGCATTTATAAATAAATATCTTTTAGCATCTGTTGCTCCTTCCTCAGCATTTAAATAATTTAAAGAGAGCATAATAGCATACAGTATCAAAATTCTCTGTCTATTTTCCATCTTTGTACAGCTTTGTTTTAACCTCTATTTTGTTTATTTTTACTTTTAACTCTTTGCTTTTTGAGACAGGTTCTCTGTATCTTTGACCTGAAGTAACTCTGTAAACCAGGCTGTCTTCGAACTCTCAGAGATCCGCCTGTCTCTGCCTCCCAGGCATTTGGGATTAAAGGTGTACACTGCTACACCTTGAACTCACAGAGATCTGTTTGTCTCTGCCTTCTAGGCACTGGGACTAAAGGCGTGTGCTACCACACATAACAACTCGCTTCCTTTTTTTGTTTTTTACTTTAAGAACTTCAACTTTTAGTCTGCATATATTTTTAACACACTGTAAACCATTTAAAATTTTTCTTTGTCTTTGAATCTCTCTTTACTGTATATCTCTCTTTTTCTGACCACAGGAGTCTTTAATTTACCAAGCAATATCAGTAGGATTAAAGGCGTGGCTTTGCTGGCTGGATCCAGCCCATTCCTTAGCTTTCCAGCCTCATGGCTGAGGTACTGGCTGTAGCCAGCAAGCGAGCTTCAGCAGCCTGTGCTTGCAAACCGCACAAACCGCCTGCGTAAAAGAGTCAGAGATTGTCCTGGCAGGACAGCCCAGAAAGCTGGCATTTTTAAATGGCGCAGCTTTTTTCCTGCTATGGCTGCGAACCGAAAAGCATGTGTTCAGCTTTTCATCAACACCGTTTAAGTGTTTCGTGGCAGGACCTCTTAATGAGCTGCAGGCTTTGCAGCTAAAGCTGAGTCAGGAAGCCTCTCTTAGATGAGGTGCTTGCTTGCCTCTAGCAAGCAGAGCAGACCCGAGAACACAGCGAGTCTAGTTGCCATCAAACAAATCGTAGCACTTTACTCCAAATGCTCTATTCAAAAGCTCTGTCTCCAGCAGGAGCCAGACAGAGATTGCAATGGCGGCACAGCCCTAGGAAGTCGCGCTTTAAAATGACACAGCGTTTTTTCTGCTACTGTTGCCGAATCAGGAAATCTCTCTACAGCACGCCACCAACAAACAGCAAAAATCTGTGTTAAACTCTCTTTTCCTTATTTTTAAGCTTTCTCAGGTTTTTTAAGTGGGTTTAGTCCATCACGTGGGGCGCCATATGAAGTAATAAGAGCGGAAGCGAGGCTGCATTTCAAGCACCCCGGCCGCCTGCTCGGCTAGCTTTACCCAAAATAATTACACGGAAACTGTATTCTTTTAAGCACTGCTTGGCCCTTTAGCTCTAGCACTTACAGGCTAATTCTCACATCCCGATCAACCCATCTCTAATAATCTGTGAGAACCGGTCTTACTGGGAAGATTCTAGCCTAGTCCATCCTGGGTCGGAGCTTCAGGCCGGGAGCGGGGCATGGCGTCTCTCTCAGGCGTCTGCTCCCGAGAGGAGAGCTGTGAGTCTCTGACCTCACTTCCTCTTCCTCCCAGTGTTCTGTCCTGTTTTCTCCTCCCACCTATCCTCTAACCAATAAAATGGGCCAGGGCAGTGCCTTTATTAGCCAATGACCTTCCTCCATCATATTACCCTTGGACCTAAGTAGTATGGTAGGCTTTTACATGTATTCTATGTATCCCCACAAAGTGATGCTCCCCCCTTCTGAAAAATGTTTTAAAATTTTAATTGCCCCCCCTTCCTCTTTCCCAAGACAAGTCTCACTGTGTAGCCCTGGTTGGCCTGGAACTATGTAGTCCAGGTTGGCTTCAAATTCAGAGATCTACCCTGCAGTAGTTTGGTATGTCATAGTGGGGGCAGGCTTTGAGGTCTTCTATGTTCAAGATATGCCCAGTGTGGGCACAGATTCCTTCTGTTGCCTGTGTATCAAGATGTAGAACTCTCAGCTTCTCCTCCAGCACCATGTCTCACCATGGTGATAATGGAATAGACATCTGAAACTGTAAGCCACCCCAATTAAATGTTTTCCTTTAAAATAGCTACTGTGGCCAGGTGTGGTGCACGCCTTTAATCCCAGCACTCAGAAGGCAGAGGCAGGTGGATCTCTGAGTTTGAGGCCAGCCTGGTCTACAAAGTAAGTTCCAGGACAGCCAGAGCTACACATAGAAATCCTGGCTCGAGAAACAAAGTTGCTGTGGTCATGGTGTCTCTTCAAAGCAACAGAAACCCTAAGACAGGACTAGAGAAATGGCTCAGGGATTAAGAGCACTAAACTGCTCTTCCAGAAGACCTGGGTTCAATTCCCACATGGCAGTTCACAACTGTCTGTAATTCCAATTCCAGGGGACCCAATACCCATAACAAAACACCAGTGTATATAAAATTAAAAAAAAAATTAACGGCTGGTGAGATGGCTCAGAGGTTCAGAGAACTCCCTGCTCTTTTAGAGGTCCTGAGTTCAATTTCCAGCAACCACATGGTGGCTCACAACCATTTGTAATGAGATCTGGTACCCTCTTCTCACCCGTAGGCATACATGCAGACAGAATACTGTATACATAATAAATAAATTTTTAAAAAAGAAAAATTTTAAAAAAGGAACCCTAAGACACACTCCAAGTGCTGAGATTAAAGGAGTGCACCACCATTCACATCTAATTTTCCTCTTGAGACAGGGTCTCACTATGTAGCTCAGAGACATCTGCCTGCCCCTGCCTTCCACACTTGACTTTAATTTTTTTTCTTTTTAGTGTCTCACTCAGTATCCCAGGTCAACCTTGAACACTTGGCAAAATTCCTGTTTCAGCCTCCCGAGTGCTGGGATCACAGGTGCATACTACCATGTCTGACTTCACTTGAGGTTTTGATCTAGTTATTAGTCTTATTTTGCCACTATTATGAATCTCTACTGCCATATTTTTATGGGATTTTCAGGTGATAATGGAAGTCTTGAGTAGCCAGTGCATAGTGAGATCCCAATGTCCATCTACTTAAATGATCTCATTGTATCCAGGCTCAAGGGTCCTGTTTTCTTGTCCAGCAAGGTACTTCCCATCTGCATTCCTACACAGAAGACAGAAGTATAGTGGCATAACACAAATATTTTATTACTTTAAAAACATGAAAACCCAGATCTCAGGACATAGGGGATGTCAAGGCAAAAAGGTTAGAGAAGTATATAGGCCCTGATGCGAGGAGTTCATGTTCAGGTCTTGGGGGCCCTTTTTCTGCCCTCTAACAGAAACATCTAGTTAAGTTTAGCTGGGATTGAATCCTGGGCCAAGACTTGCTCTTGTTTGGAGGCCACCCAAGGATAAACTTTGCTGTGGGAGAAGCTCAGGTGGAAGAATGACAGCCTTCCCTGAGGATGTTGTAAGCAGCCCCTGGGCAAAAGGTAGGCAAGTGGTGATAGCCCATCCAAGGGGCCATTTGGGTTCTTTCTGCATTTATGGCCAGGACACCTATTCTCCTATTAGTTGCTCAACTGCCTGCTTTGCTCCCTTCCAATATTAGCCCCTGCCTAAGAGTCTTCCTCCCTTCTCTGCCAAGTGTGAGGAACAGCCAAGGCTCTTCTTTTAGTCCAAGAGACCAAGAGGAGTCAGATGCTCAAGGATAAGAAAGAGTATCCAGGCTAAGCAATGGTGGTGCACACCTTTAATCCCAACACTTGGGAGGCAGAGGCAGGTGGATCTCTGTGGTCTGAGGCCAACCTGGTATACAAACAGAATTTCAGGACAGTCAGAGACACGCTGTCTCAAAACAAACAAAAAAGAGTACCCAGCAGGGATTATATGCCAATCTATCTGAGTTAAAAGCATCAGTTCATCTTCCAGCCTCAGTTTTGTGCAGGGAAGAATCTCAAAGGCAGTACAGAGTCAAGCAGGCTTGGACAGGGTCCTGCACCACTACTTCCCAAACCCTGGAGGTTCCAGTACTCCCTCGACTAAGGACTTCAGGGCACAGACTGGGCAGGAAAAGCCTATCTTCCAGGCTGGAAGTGGTTGTGGAGCTGTTCCGCCTGCATCTTCAGCCGCTGGAATTCCTCTTGAATGAAGTCAGTGAGGGCTTTCCGCATCTCCACCTGAGAGCAAGGATGGTGCTGGCCTGCACTCCTCAGGGACCATGACTAAGGTACCCCGGGAGTCGGAGGGGCTGGGAAAGTCAAGGGGACCCTTGGGTGATAACTCACAGCTGACTTGTTTTCTGCCCGGAGCCGCTCAAGCACAGGGAGTGCACTGAAGGGCTTTCCAATCAGCACGGTGATTTTCTGTAAGGAGGTAGGTCATCAAGGATGACAAGGAGCCTATAATTCCAGCCCAAACAATGTGGTAAGTCAGAGCCAAGCCTTGCCTAATGGGTTTGGTGCTCTTGAAAGCCACTCTCCCTCTTTAAAATAGGCAGCTGGGCTTGGTGGTATCCAAGGGACAGCCTAATCCTGAGATGACCTATCCTGCTCTACCTTGTATCCCACCCCATCCTGATTTTCAATTCTTATTCTAAAGGCCTTACTTCCAGAAAAGTCCCTCCCTCCCCAACTACATGCTCATGTTCAGCAAATTCTCAACCAATCCTTTATAGTATGGGCTAGGAGACACAGGGTAGATAACAGGCAAATAGACAAGAGCCAGAAGTGCCTACCCACCTGTCCAAATCGGGGGAAGTAGGGTGGGCTATTAGGGAGGACATCATTCATTCCTGTAGCACAATGGATAGAAAGCCAGCCATTGGGGGAAGTAGTGCACCAGGGTACCAGGAAGAGAGCCCCAGGTACTTCTCTCAGCCATCCAACCCACAATCCCCTTTAAAACATCTAAGGAAGTCCCCTCCCTACCCCCAGTCCCTGGCTCACCAACATGCCATAGTGGCAGGATGATGGGGTTTAGATGACACTCAGCAATCAGCCGTCCAATTCCTACTTAGGAGAGAGGCAGAAGCATTGGCACAAGTTGGGCCAAGCTGCCCTGCCAATCTCTGGCCAGTGTCATTTCTACTGTTTCTCAATTAAAAGACTAGTCCTTGACTCACCACCTGTCCCATTCCCACTGTCCCTGACACATCCACCAGAGAGGGGAATGAAGCAGGAACTCACAGGGCCATCTTTGGATGGGGTACTTGGCTGTGTCAACTTGAACAGCAACACTTACCCCACTTGAAGCGCAGAAACTCAGAACTCATGTTTACTTTCCCTAGTGAGAGAAGACAGAGACAAGGCTTGGAATCTGAAACCATGCATGCTGAAGGACCCTGACCAAGCACCCAACTGACCTTCTGGAAAGATGTGTACCCAGTCCCCATGGTTAAGCTTCTCCAAAATGAAGTCCATCCCTTTCTGGTAGACACCATCTCCTGCAGAGAAAGATCTGTTCTCTTTGATCCATTCTCTGGGGAAGATATCAAGCTCTCTAAACCTCAGTGAACTAGATTCACACATCAGGGGCCCACTCCTGATCCACCCTAATTAGGATGGAGGCAAAAGTTCATCCCCTACAGCACCATCCATAGACACCGCCAACAACTATTTTCAGAGTCTGTTCCTCCCTACTACCCTGAGCCTTCACATATTTGGTTTGGTTATATCCTCCTCTCAAGATGGGCATGGAGGCTCATGCCTATAATCCCAGCACTTGGTAGGCTGAATCAGGAGAGCTGCTGTGAGTTTGAGGTCAGGATGGGCCACAGAGTATAACATCCTATATCAAAACAAAACAATGTCTTCTCAACTTCTTAGTGCCTGTCATGTGCAAACAGCACCTTCCTTTTCTTTTCTGAGACAGATATTACTATGTAACCCAGGTTGAATCAATTTTTTTTTGTTTCTTTTTTTTCTTTTTTGGTTTTTCGAGACAGAATTTCTCTGTTTTGGAGCCTGTCCTGGAACTAGCTCTTGTAGACCAGGCTGGTCTCGAACTCACAGAGATCCGCCTGCCTCTGCTTCCCAAGTGCTGGGATTAAAGGCATGCGCCACCACTGCCCGACCTAGGCTGGCTCAAATTTGTGGCAATCCTTTTACCTCAGTTTTCCAGGTGCTGGAATTATGGGTGTGCATCAAGACACCTGGCTAAACAGTATCTCTTACTGAAATGATAACCGTGACAACTCCACCTCCTTCCTCCACAGCCTGCCCTGCTGGAATCTGCCATACCCCAACACACACCCATTTGCTGGCAGCTAATCAGCTCTTTGGGAGCCACCACTTTGACCTTCCTTGTGGTTTCTGGACCAAGGTGTAACACTTCAGTAAACAGAAAACACAGAAGAGACTGGGAAGTTTGTGAGGGAGGACCTATTGGTATTTCAAGGCCAGCTGGGTTTCTGTGAGACCACTGCTCATAAAAAAAAAAAAAAAAAAAAGATTGGAACAAACTGAAAATGGGAGTCAAGCTGCCCTGAGGCTAGTAAAACCTTGGATACATTCTGAGATGATCACACTAGATTGAGGAATGGTAATGACACAAACCTGGATCATCCAGGAAGCCCAGCTATCAGTCACACTATAGATGTAGAGACCTAATGCCTTTTGCTGGCTAGCAACCTTGAATCACCTAGATATAGTAAGACTCTCCACATAGTGGAAGAATAACCATAGGGTGAACAGAACCAGGAAACGGAAGGGAGGAGGCTGACAAAATAGGTAAATATCCTAATCTTATAAAATGGGATGGAGGAGGGTGTCTCGCAGGAGACAGAGAAACACTGGAGCTATCTCAGGTCAGTACTGTTCTCTGTAAGCCTGCTGTTTGGAAAATGTGCTTAGGGATTCAGGAGCCTCAGTCCAACCTCAATAGGGACCTGATCTGGCAGCTCACTCAGGGGCCAGAAGTGGGAATGATTTCAGGGAACAGAAAGAAACACAGGTTTCCTATTTGGGATGGCGGTACACAGAGCAAGGGTAGTAACTAAAGGTGTTTGTTCCTCTAGCAAAACCCACTGGTATATACCCTCTGAGCTTGCAACGGGCAAGTAAAAAGGGTAATATGCCTTTGGAACAGGCTTATACTTTCGAGCTTTTGCAAATGCTATTTCTACTTATGTAAAATCACATCTTCAGTGCTTAAAGGTCAACCTACAAAGTCTTAGAGAAAAATGGTTTAACACAGAAACTGTATCGCAAACTGTTTCAGTCACATGTAATTAGATCTTTGCTGTCCTTGAAATTAATGTTTCATTTTCTAGCTTTTGTTTTTATATATTTTACAATTCTAGGAATAGAACAAAGGGCTCTGAGCCAGAAAGGCACAAATTGTACCAATGAGCCACATCTCTAGCCCTCAATTTTTCTGTATGTGTGGGCACACAGTTGTACACACACACACACACACACTTGTGTGTGCACATGGGCTTTTTTTGAGACAGGGTCTCTGTCTTCAGTCCAAGCTGGCCTCAAATTCATGGTAAATCACCTACTTCCACCTCCCAAACACAGGGAATACAGGTATAGGCCACCATACCTAGTTTTTTTTGTTTAAGACAGGGTTTCTCAGCCCTGGCTGTTTTGGAACTAGCTCTGTAGACCAGGATGGCCTCAAACTCAAGAGATTCACCTGCCTCTGACCTCTGAGTGCTGGGATTAAAGGTGTGCACCACCACGCCTAGCTTTTTTTTTTAGATAAGAAGTCACCACGTAGTCCTGTAGTCCTGGTTAGTCTGGAACTTGCTGTGTAGACCAGGCTGACCTCAAAGTCACAGCAATCTTCATGTCCCTGATCCTGCTTACAGAGTGATGGGGTGGGATTACAGACACATGCCATCATGCCCATCTCAGATCCTGTTTTTAACTGAAATGAAATCTAGGTAAAGATCAAAAAGAATGAAGAGAACTGGGAATATAACTCAGAGGTACAGTATATGCCTAGAATGCACAAGTCTCTGTGTTCTGTCCCCCAAACTGAAAACAAAAGAAAAATAATGAAAACAAGACACATACATACAAGACTTCTGAGATTGCAGAAGAGGAGCTTAGAGTCAGGGACAGGTGTAAATTATCAGAATACTGACATTATCAGAGCAGGACCTGGGAGAAAATGCCACTGTCATTCAGCAAGATAATGTAGTCTCTGTTGGAACACTTAGAAAGAAGGAAATAGGGCTGGAGAGATGGCTCAAAGGTTAAGAGCACTGGCTGTTCTTCCAGAGGTCCTGAGTTCAATTCCCAGCAACCACATGGTGGCTCACAACCATCTATGACGAAATCTGGTGCTCTCTTCTGGTGTGCAGGCATACATGCAGGCAGAATGTTGTATACATAATAAATAAATCTTTTAAAAAAAGAAGGAAATAGAAAATCTCTTTAGACATTTTGGTATTTTTTTGTTTTTCGAGACAAACTCTCTCTGTAGCCTTTGTTGTACTGGAACTTGCTTTGTAGACCAGGTTGGCCTCAAACTCAGAGATCCAATTGCCTCTGCCTCCCAAGTGCTGGGATTAAGGTGTGTGCCTCTACCACAGGCTTATTTGCCCATTTTTAGACTTTTTCTTTCATTCTTTCATTGAAAACAAATCTGCTTCCCCAGAGAAAAAGGAAATGTGGATTTGAATCCTAAATTTGTCCAAGGTCATGACTTCTGAGCTCTATCTGAAAAATTGGGATCAAGATGGCCCCAACTGGCAGACTGAGAGGGCACTGATAATGACATTGGGATTTGTCTCTACTGCATGTACTGGCTTCTTGGGATCCTATTCTCTTTGGATGTAAACTTTGCTCAGCCTAGATGTAGTAGGGAGGACCTTGGACTTTCCACAGGGCGGGGTGCATTTCCCTCTCTTAGGGTTGGAGAAGGTGGGTTGGGAGTGTGTATGGAGGGAGTAGGAGGAGGGGAGGGAGTGGGAATTTGGATTGGTATTTTTTTAAGTAATAAAATAACATAAAAGATGGCCCCAACTTCTAGGGGGTTGTGAAAGGTACTGAGTGATCATTCAATCCAAGGCTCCTCACCCCACCAATTTGTTTGTTTTCCCAGAAACAAACCCTCTGGCTTTTATACATTACCCCACTACCATCATCATAAAGTGATAGCACCACACTATTCTCCCTGAGAGGAGTAATAGATACAGAAGGGACAGCAAATAAAGCTTCCTTAAATTCTCTTTCTTGGTTTTTCGAGACAGGGTTTCTTTGTAGCTATGGAGCTGGTCCTGGAACTAGCTCTTGTAGACCAGGCTGACCTTGAGCTCACAGAGATCTGCCTACCTTTGTCTCCTGAGTGCTGGGATTAAAGGTGTGTGCCACCCCACCCCCACCCCTGGCTCCTTGAATTCTCATGCTAGAATTCTGGACAATCCTCAGGCAGCAGCAGAGAATCTAAAAGGTCATTCTTCTCCCTACCCTCTGTCACCTATACTGTCATGCCATGGCTCCCCTGAGTCCTTCTAAGACAGAGACACTGACCACCAGCTTCCTTACCCCCAAAGGAGGCCTGGACATGCCTACCAGAGGAGCAGCTCACCTCGACATACAGGCACACATTTGCCCAAGCTGAAGAAATGGGAGTGCAGCTCCTTGGTGAAACAGATGTCTGCAGCTGCTGGGGTCCTAGAGCAGCAATAGACCCAGTCATCCCTACCTTCAAAACTTCTAGTCTTTGTCCCCAACTCTCCCCACCCAGTACAATGCCTGCCATCACTGTCATGCAGAATGAAGCTCAAGAGAAGGGCCTGTGGGGCCCCACCCATGCCCTTTCTGGACTGCTGGATGCCACCTCCTGAGCAGAGAAGGCAGGCAAATCTGGGCAGAAATGGATGGGCCACTTCAAGGGGTCTATTGCTCCTCACCAACGCATCAACTTCAGGTTCCAGATGTGGCGGAGTTTCAGGATCCCTAAGAAAAAGGAAAGCCCTTTATGTGACATGACTACTTCCATATTCCTTTTAAATTTCTGATATCCTGTCCAAATAACATTCCCTGGAGCAATCCTAAGGGGAACACAAAACTTCCAGCAACTGGCAGTATATCCCACAAACAATTCCATGGTTTCCCAAAGAGCCTGGTGAGAAGCGAATCTATTCTGCCTGTTCCTGTTTTGCCTACTTGAACCCAAGCACACTGGTACAGTACCCCAGAGATGAGGGTCATCCATGCAGGATTGGTGGTTGGAGACCGTGATGAGGGGGGTGGCAGGGTCTCGGTTCTCAATGAGCTCATACAGCACTTCTTTGTTGTGCACGGTGAGTTGGTTCATGTACTCTGGGAAGAGAAGTCAGTCTCAAGCTCTTGCTCATCTCTACCTGCCCGAGAATTCTTACTGTGCTAAAAGAGAACCTACCACATCCCCAGTACCCAAACCAAATTCCAACTCTGACCAGGTTAGGAGCCTGTGACTCTCCCTTGGCCTTTGCCCACTCACTGGTCCAGAAGCAGCTGTAGGTGCCCACCAGGCCCATGACGACGCTACTGGCTATGGTCCAGGTGAGCCGGGGCACCGCGGGGAACGGCCACTTCACGTGGAGGGGCATCTCCTCCGGTCCTGACTTCACAGCCTGGAGCTCCTCCGACAAACTAGCAGAGGGCTAAACTAAACTTCGTGAGGCAGCTCAGAGCCTCCCTAGTACCGCTCTCCGGACAGAAAGGTGCTGCTGCTCAGGCCAGGAGACAGAATTGCTGTGGGGAGCCACACATACTACCAGAGCTTGCCTTGGCGGCCTCAGACTCCACGGACCTGCCGGAAAACGAGCCGGGAACGCTTGTGGTCGCAAAACAGGCCTAGGTCGCTTGACGGCTGCCGGGGGCAGGTCTATGCTATCCTCGCCCCGCCCTCTTCCCCGTCAGAGTCTGGATTTTGATACCGCCAGAAGCTAAGCGTCTCTTTGGTGCCTTAATTCTAGTGTCTGTAGGTGACTGACAAGAGCTGCGCAGCACCATTATCTGAAGCCACTCAAGGCCTAAACTGGTGGAACTCTTTTACTTATTATCTCCCCCTCCCCCACCCCGTGTGAATCGGATTATCTGCAGAGGCGAGAAAAGGGCATTGAGCGTCTGTGACCATCATTCTGTGCCTTACTACTTTCGAAACCAGGTCTGTTATTGAGCCTGGGGTCACGTTTTCCACCAGGTTGGCGTCCAGGAAGCCTCAGAGATGCCCTTTTATCTGCCCCCTCCATTTAAAGCAGTATAGTCTCATGCAGCCCACACTAATTTCTTTTTTTTTTAAATATTTATTTATTTATTTATTATGTATACAATATTCTGTCTATGTGTATGCCTGAAGGCCAGAAGAGGGCATCAGACCCCATTACAGATGGTTGTGAGCCACCATGTGGTTGCTGGGAATTGAACTCAGGACCTTTGGAAGAGCAGGCAATGCTCTTAACCTCTGAGCTATCTCTCCAGCCCCAGCCCACACTAATTTCGAGCTCGCTTTCAAGTCACAGCAATCCTCCTGCCTCTGTCTCTCAAATTCTGTGGGCATCACAAGAGGATTTTTTTTTTAGAGAGAGAGAGAGGGATTTACTGTGATCCCTAGCTAGTCTGGAACTTAATATATAGACCAGGCTAACCCCAAATTCTAAAAGCAAATGCTACCTACCACATCCTGGTATTGTTTTAAAATTCAGTTTTATTGATAGTGAGCTGGCGGGTGGAAGGTTGGGAGTGGTTATCTCCATGATAGAGTACTTGCCTAGCGTTCATGTGGTAGCAAAAGTAACATGCCCATGAGCAGTGTTTTTGTTTTTGGTTTTTCGAGACAGTTTTCTCTTTCTTTGGAGCCTGTCCTGGAACTCACACCAGGCTAGCCTCGAACTCACAGAGATCCATCTTCCTCCAGAATTCTGAGATTAAAAGCATGCACCACCACCGCCCGACCTCCCTTGGGACGTTTTTTATGACTCCATAGTCATCCAACGGGGACCTGAAAGGACTCAGTAGCCAGTCGCGCTGTCTGTCCTGTGCAGAAGGTCCATTGCTTTGGGTTTTCTGACAAATATAATTTAGGAAGGCCTAAGTACCTAGAGAGAAAGAAGACTGCTTCACTCCCCGCTTTGGGGAAGGGGCCAGAGAATGAGCGAGCAAACCTCTTCACCTTGGTCCCTAGGTTCAGGTAACTACTCAACAATGGACAGCGCGAGTGGCTGCTGTCTGCTCAGAACAGGCACCACCCATCTTGGGCGGGGAGGACAGTCAGGACCAGCTCCCAGGCACCGCCTCCTGGATGGAGAGGCGGAGACCAGCCCTGCTTGTTGGGACTAGAGAGTTGGGTGTGGGGGCCGGCTCTTGGGTGGGTCTGAAAGCAGGCTTCCTCTTCTCCCCACCCCAAGTCCGTAACCTGGCTGGCGCCGCGATTCTGTCGGTTAAATCGGTTCAAGGCTGAGGCAGGCGTGGGACCAAGCTGGTCTGCCGAGGTATGAAAATCCTGAGGGCTAGGGAAAGGGAGGAGGTTGCTCTACGACGTGGGGAGGGGCTTAAGAGGGGAAGGGAACTTTGATCCAGAACTAAGGATGGTCTTGGAAGACTAGGATGGGCATTGGGCTGGGGCCAGGTACAGTCATTCTTTGAGATTCTTTCCCAGAGTCCTAGCGGTCTCAGTCTTCAGATGTAGCTTGGTCAGTACAAAGCTGCACCAATACTCACATGTATTCCAGAATAGGCACCAGTGCAAAGAGACAAAAATAAGCATGAGTGACAGAGCAGATGGCCAGAGAGAAACAAATATCAAGGCCAGGCAGGAAAACACTAACAGAAACACTGAGATGGGCAGAACCGGGAAGAGAGAACAAGACAGACAGAATGAAACTAACAGAGAGGAGAAAGTGACAGGGTGACTGAGAAAAGCAAGCAGACAGAAGCAGAGGGCCTCATGCTTCAGAATGTGATATGGACAGTACAGTAAAGGATTGAGCCCAAAAGATATGGTAAGGCAGAGGTGAACCTGAGACAAAGATAAACCAGATACATGCTCAAAAAGGGGCATCAGTAGCACCCAGTAAGGTTGAAGCCAGCCTGGGACTGTAACATAGTGAATTACAGGTCAGCCTTGGTTATAAATTGAGACCTGTATATGAACCAAGAGAATGGAAAAAAAAAAAGAAAAGAGGAAAGGGAAAGCACATACCATGTCACAAATAGAAAAAGGGAGATGACTAGTATAATGGCTCAGCAGATAAGAACATTTACTGTTGCTGAGCAGTGGTGGCGCACGCCTTTAATCCCAGCACTCAGGAGGCAGAGACAGGTGGATCTCTCTGAGTTTGATGCCAGCATGGTCTAGAGAGCTAGTTCCAGGACAGGCTCCAAAGCTACAGAGAGACCCTGTCTCAAAAAAAAAAAAAAGAACATTTGCTGTTAAAGTTGATAGCCTGAGTTTGATCCCTGGAACTCACGTGGTATAAGTAAAAAACCAGACTCCACATAGACACATGTATACATGCATACATACACAAACACATACAAATAAGTATTTTTTAAAAAGAAAAAAGGTTAAGAAGAAGCAAAAATGCCTGAAGAGGTTCATGTTTGATTTTCTAATATGGCTAGGATAAACTGGACATTCTTGAATCTGAGACTATCTCTGCCCTAGCTAGGAAGTGGGCCTATGTGAAAAATGGTACACAGCAGCAGTTTGTTTGCTTGTTTATATTTTGAGACAGGGTTTCTCTGTGTACCCCTGGCTGCCTAGAACTCATTCTGTAGACCGGGTTGGCCTAGAACTCAGAAATCTGCCTGCCTCTATCTCCTGAGTGCTGGTGTTAAAGGCATGCACCACCACTGCCCAGCTGCTTCTCGACATTTTGAGGAAGTAGGTTAAAAGAATGAGATCAAACCCTTATGCACTGTTAGTGGGTATATAAAATGTCACAACAGCAATAGAGAGCAGTTTGGTGTTCCTTCAAAATTAAAAATAAAACTATCATATGAATCAGCAGTTCTATGTTAGGAAATTGAGGTACTTGCTTTACTCAAAATGGCTGAGCTGGACCTGGGTGGTGGTGGTGCATACCTTTAATCCCAGCACTTGGGAGGCAGCTGCAGGTGGATCTCTGTGAGTTCAAAGCCAGCCTGGTCTACAGAGTGAGTTCCAGGATACCTAGGGATACACAGAGAAACCTTGTCTTTTTTTTGTTTGTTTGTTTGTTTGTTTTGTTTTTTTTGTTTTTCGAGACAGGGTTTCTCTGTGGTTTTGGAGCCTGTCCTGGAACTAGCTCTTGTAGACCAGGCTGGTCTCGAACTCACAGAGATCCGCCTGCCTCTGCCTCCCGAGTGCTGGGATTAAAGGCGTGCGCCACCACGGCCCGGCCGAGAAACCTTGTCTTGAAAAACAAAAAGGGGGGGGGGCTGAGCTGGAGGATCATATAATAATCATATAATACAGTGTTTGGCTAGTTATGAGACTTAACATAGTATAGCTTTCCCTACATAGCCAACATATGAGGCCCTGGATTCTATCCCCAGCACTGCCCAAGCCAAGCTTGGTGGTATACACCTGTAATTCCAGTGTGGGGGAGGTAGAGGCAGGAGAATCAGAAGTTTGAAGTCAGCTTGCCACAAAAAAAAAAAAAACCTCCCAGGTGGTGGTGTTGCATGCCTTTAATCTTTAATCCCAGCACTCTGGAAGCAGAGGCAGGTGGATCTCTGTAAGTTCGAGGCCAGCCTGGTCTACAAGAGCTAGCTCCAGGACAGGCTCCAAAAAAAAAAAAAAAGCTACAGAGAAACCCTGTCCCGAAAAAAACAAAACAAAACAAGCAAAGAAACAAAAGAAACAAAACACTACAAGGTTAGAGATATAGCTCAATGGTAGAGCACTTCCTTAGCCTGGGTAAGGCTCCATCTTCAATCCCCGGTACCACATATAAAAAAATTAAATAAGATGGGCTGGAGAGATGGCTCAGTGGTTAAGAGCATTGCCTGTTCTTCCAAAGGTCCTGAGTTCAATTCCCGGCAACCACATGGTGGCTCACAACCATCTGTAATGAGATCTGGCGCCCTCTTCTGGTCTGTAGGCATACAGACAGAACATTGTATACTAAATAAATAAATATTAAAAAAAAAATTAAATAAGAGCCAGTCAGAGATGGTGCACAACTTTAATCCCAGCACTTGGGAGGTAGATAGAGGCAGGTCTGGTCTACAAAGTGAGTTCCAGGACAGGCAAGGCTACACAAAGAGACCCTGTCTCAAAAAAAAAAAAAACAAAGTAAACAAATAAAATAATTCAAGTAGTGGATGTACCCCAATGCTGATGGACAAAGTGTGTCTGAGCATAGACTGAAATGTTAACTACCCTTAATAAGGAAGATGGGGCCAGGTAGTAGTGGCGCAGGCTTTTAGGAGGGAGAGGCAGGTGGATCTCTGTGAGTTCAAGGCCAGCCTGGTCTACTGAGCAAGTTCCAGGACCGCTAGGGCTGTTACACATAGAAACCCTGTCTGAAAACAAACAAACAAAAAAAAGGATTAAAGACAAACATAGAGACAGATAAACTTTGTTGTTGTGGCTGACCCTCTGAATTCCTGGCCTTAGTTTTGGCAAAGAAGTTATACTTACTAAGTACACAATTTCAACTAGAGAAGATGAAGAAACTCTGCATATCTAGGCTGGTAACAGTACACTGTGCTTGTGTCTTAGGCTGCTGGACTGAGTCTTTAAAAGGCTTGACTCCTTGTACATATCTGCCACTATTTAGCTTCAATAATTCTTTTTTGTTTTTTTTAATTTATTTAACTTTATTTTATGTGCATTGGTGTGAGGGTGTCAGATCCCCTGGAACTGGAGTTACAGACAGTTGTGAGCTGCCATGTGGGTGCTGAGAATCGAACCTGGAACCTCTAGAAGAGAAGCCAGTGTACTTTTTTGTGTGTGGTGTTTTGAGACAGGGTTTCTCTGTAGCTTTGGAGCCTATCTTGGAACTAGCTCTTGTCAACCAGGCTGGCCTCGAACTCACAGAGATCTACCTGCCTCTGCCTCCCGAGTGCTGGGAATAAAGGTGTGTACCACCAGTGCCTGGCCAGCCAGTGTTCTTAACTGCTGAGCCATCTCTCCAGCCCCCCCCCCTTTTGCATTTTATTTATTTGGTTTTTCGAGACAGGGTTTCTCTGTGTAACAGTCCTAGCTGTCCTGGAACTAGCTCTGTAGACCAGGATGGCTTCGAACTCACAGAGATCTGCCTGTCTGTCTTCCAAGTGCTGGGATTAAATGTGGTATGCCACTCCCCTTCCCCCGGCCAATGATAATTTCTTGTCCATAAATTTCTTCAGATCCAGAAGGTGGGCCTTGCTTATGATGGCTGTGCTTATGGTTTGCTTTTTTTTTTTTTTCAGACAGGGTTTCTCTGTGTAGCTCTGACTATCCTGGAACTCACTCTATAGACCAGGCTAGCCTCAAACTCACAGAGATATGCCTACCTCTGCTTCCTGAGTGCTGGAATTAAAGGCATTTCACCACTACCCATGGCTTGTGCTTGTGTTTTAAAGCAGGGTATCATTATATAACTCAAGCTGGCCTCAAACTTGTGATCTTCTTACCTTCATTTCCCAGATGCTGGAATTATAGGAGTATGCCACCACACCTAGCCTTGTTTTTGTTTTTTGAAAGACGGGGTCTCAGGACTGGAGAAATGCTAAATGACAGAGTGCTTCTCTACCATGCCTAGAAAATTTTATGCAATACCACATATATCTTATCAGGTGTTCAAGCCTAGTGTACAGAAGTTGAAACATTTCCCAGGAAGAGATGCAAGAAACATTCAGGGCCAGTAGCAGGAAGAGTACCAATTAGCTGAGATCAGCTACAGTGCCAATGCACTCTGGACAACCTGGATTCCTTTGGAAGACTCCTGATGCCACATATGGCCATGCATGGCCTTGTTTTGTCTCTCCTGCTCATCCTTCTGGCTGGTGGGGCTGAATCCTTTCGTATCTGTGCCTTCAATGCCCAGAGACTGGCACAGCCCAAGGTGGCCAAGAAGTCAGTGATGGATACCTTAGTTCAGGTAAGTTAAGTTCATTGTTGCAGAAATCTGTGTCCCTAAGGCCCTTAGCTCTGCCTGACCAGGGACATGCACTAAAAAGGAAGGGGCATCAGGAAATGTGAGTACACATGTGAAAAGTACCTTTCAACTATCATTTAATTACCAATCTCTTCCTCTAAAGAGGAAGGTATAATGGAATGATGCTCTTTGTTTTTCTGGGTTCCTCCTAGTCCTTCTGTCTTCTGCTACTCTGGTCTTTATATATGTCAACCCCTCTTAATTGGGTTGGTATCCCTCATTCCCTGCAGATCCTGGCCCGATGTGATATCACAGTTCTTCAGGAGGTGGTGGATTCTTCCCAGAAAACTGTCTCCCTTCTGCTTCAAGAACTTAATAGGTAAAGAAGGGTCTTGTCTGACTGGAGACATAGCTCAGAGGTTAAGAGCACTGGCTGCTCTTCCAGAGGTCCTGAGTTCAGTTCCCAGCAACCACATGGTGTCTCACAACCATCTACAATGAAATCTGGTGCCCTAGTCTGTCATGCAGGTATACATGTATGCAGGCAGAACCCTGTACCTAATAAAATAAATTAAAAAAGAAGGGTCCTGCCAATCTAATCGGGGTTCCACCCAGAGCCTCAAGGGCCCCTAACTCTGAGTTCTTATTCTGGCAGATTTGTGGGTTCCAGGAGTTACAGCTTCCTAAACAGCTCCCTACTGGGGCGTAGCACATACAAGGAGAAGTATGTGTATATCTACCGGTGAGTACAGGGTTTTAATTCTATCTTCATAAAGACAATTCTATCTGGTCCTGATGTTCTGAAGACCCAGCTAGCCTATTTGCTTGAGTCCATGATTTCAAGACTAAATGGGCAATAATGAAAATGGATCTCAAAAAAAAATCTCATGAAAGTTCTAGGTAGAGCTGGAGAGATGGTTCAGTGGTTTAAGAGCACTTGCTGCTCTTCAGAAGACTATTGTTTTATTCCCAACACTCACACAACAGCACACAACCATCATTAACTTCAGTTCCAGGGGATGGGACACCTTCTTCTGGCCTCTGCAGACCCATGGTGCACAAACATACATGCAAGCAAAACACTCATACACATTAAATAAATCTTAAAAACAGTTCCAGGGAGCCGGGCGATGGTGGCGCATGCCTTTAATCCCAGCACTCGGGAGGCAGAGGCAGGTGGATCTCTGTGAGTTCGAGACCAGCCTGGTCTACAGAGCTAGTTCCAGGACAGGCTCCAAAGCCACAGAGAAACCCTGTCTCGAAAAACCCAAAAAAAAAAAAAAAAAAAAAAAAACAGTTCCAGGGAGCCGGAGGCATAACTCGGTGGCAGGGTACACATTTATCCCCGGTGATAAAAAGAAAAACTCTAAGCTAGAAGTGGTGGCACACACCTTTAATTCCAGCACTCAGAGGCAGAGACGGAGGGATCTCTGTGAGTTCAAGGTTAGCCTAATCTAGAGTTCCAGGACAGCTGGGACTACATAATAGATCCTGCCTTAAAAAAATATTTTTAAAAAAGAAAAACGAAAACCAGAAGTTCTAGAAAAAAAGGTTGTGCCCACATGAAACTGGCAGAACAAGGAACCAGGAGTGTTCCTCTTTGACAAGCTTTGCTGTTTTGCGTAAGATGTGGGGCCACTACTTCCTGCCCCTTGGTTTTCCCAGGTCTGACAAGACACAGGTCCTGAGTTCTTACCAGTACAATGACACAGATGATGTTTTCGCCAGAGAACCATTTGTGGCCCAGTTTACTCTTCCTAGCAAAAGTAAGAGGGAAAGAAAGGTGGACCTGGTACATGGAAACAGGAGTGGGTGTGGCTGGCTCTCCTGTGGGTTTGTTCCTAAGGGGAAACAGAAGTGGATGTGTGTGAGAAAGGCTGGCAGCTGTGGCAGCCTTAGTTTCCTGGGCTTTGCAGTCCTTCCAAATGTGGTTCTGGTTCCACTCCACACTACTCCCAAGGATGTTGAGAAGGAGCTGAATGCCCTATATGATGTGTTTCTGGATGTCTCCCAACGCTGGCAAAATGAGGTAGGGGTGATAGCTTGCACAGAAGAGGGGATGGTGGGACTTTCTTGTGGCAAAACCCAACTGCTTGTTTTTATCTTTAGGATGTGATCCTGCTTGGAGACTTCAATGCTGACTGTGCATCACTGACTAAAAAGCGTCTCAACAGCCTGCTACTGCGGACTAAAGCAGGCTTCCACTGGGTGATTTCTGATGGGGAGGACACTACAGTGAGAGCCAGCACCAACTGTACCTATGACCGAATTGTGATGCATGGGAAGGGATGTCAGACACTGCTGAGGGCTGCAGCCCCCTTCAACTTCCCCAGGAGCTTTCAGCTGACTGAGGATGAGGTAGAAAAGTTGCACAATGGCTAAGGGCACAATTGTGGAGGGAAGTTGACAGGAAAGCCCCTCAATGTCAAGCACTGACACCTCCATTTTGCTATCCCTCCCCAGGCTCTCAGAATCAGTGACCATTATCCTGTGGAGGTGGAGCTGAGCCAGGCAGCTCAGGGCATCCAACCCTTCATGTTGGGCTATTCTGCTGCTGCTGTCACTTTTGCCATCTCAGCTGGGCTAGGTGGCTTGACACTTCCTTTCAGATGACCACTGACTTGACTAGGACACTGACTGAGCTAAAGCACGGCCTCAAATACAGCTTTTCCTTCTGTTTTTATGTAGGCTTTCTGCTGCTTGCTATTTCAAGAGGAAAAAAGGGCTGGCAGTGTTTTTACCTAGTATATCCTATGCCCTGGGGTTGATTCCTTTTTGAAATAGGACTCGTCACTATATGCAACTCTAACTCAGGTAGTCAGGTGCACAAAGGAGGTTCCAGGACTAGGAATGGGCTAAGAACTCAGACTATGCCTAAAAGATTTATGCAACTGACATCAAGAGCCAGATAGGAAGACTAAGTATCCTAGAAACCTTATAGAAGATGAGCTCATGAGCCGGGCCGTGGTGCTGCCTTTAATCCCAGCACTCAGGAGGCAGGTGGATCTCTGAGTTTGAGGCCAGCCTGGTCTACAAGAGCTAGTTCTAGGACAGGCTCCAAAGCCACAGAGAAACCGTCTCGAAAAACCGAAAAAGAGCTCACACTAAAAAGAAAACTCAGACGTGAACTCATACAAAAATCTCTGGTAGAGGGGGCTGGAGAGATGGCTCAGCGGTTAAGAGCACTGACTGCTCTTCCAAAGGTCCTGAGTTCAATTCTCAGCAACCACATGGTGGCTCACAACCATCTGTAATGAGGTCTGGTGCCCTCTTCTGGCCTGCAGGCATATACACAAACTGAATATTGTATACATAATAAATAAATATCAAAAAAAAATCTCTAGTAGATAAAGAACTGTTCATAGCACTATTAACTCTAGGCTTGTTTCAAAAATTTTTAGACATAACTAATCCTGTTTCTCAAATGGCTAAACTACATGGGCCAGCCTTGTCTCTGGGCCACATATCCATTGTATGGTTCACTTACTCTGTATTCATATACTTATTACATGGCTGTCAGGGATATCAAGCAAAATATACAAATAAAGTCACCAATCTTAACTCTGTATGTTCAGTCCACTACCTTGCCCTGTTTAACCAAACCCCATGGACTTAAGAATCAATACAAATACACAAGCAGACTGGATGTGAGATTTATTACTGAACGTGATTTGGTAGGGTACAGGAGAGCACCATGAAAGCCCTCAGGAATGTAGGGCTTGCCACTTGTCCAGGGGACCACGATTAGGAATATATTTGACCCCACAGCCATCAGGAATGAGTCGCTTCTCAGCAACCATGCCTTCAAATTCATCTGCATTAAACTTAGTAAAGCCCCATTTCTTTGAGATGTGGATCTAGGAGATAGAAAACAAAAAATTACTCAGTGACAAGGATCAGTCTCTGAACTGATAAAATAAAAAGCAGAAGTGAATATCACCCACCTTCTGGCGGCCAGGGAATTTAAACTTGGCTCTACGAAGAGCCTCAATCACATGTTCCTTATTCTGCAGCTTAGTGCGGATGGACATGATGACCTGGCCAATGTGAACCCTGGCCACTGTGCCCTGGGGCTTCCCAAAGGCACCACGCATGCCTGTCTGGAGCCTACATTGGAGACAGCATTGAGATCAAACTTGAATAAGTGCCAGAAAATTGTCTCCAAGGTCCCTTAGGGCAACCCATACAGGTAACAGGCTGCGTACACTACCAAGGAGGCTGCTGTTTGCAACCATTGCACACCAGGGCCCCAAGGGGAAAGGGACCTGGTCGGCTTAATTAGTTGCAAAAAAAAATTCCCCAAATAGTCATTTGGAACACGAGTCTTCTACATGAATCAAGTGCCCCTAGCCAGAACCAAGCCATCTTTCCAGCCCATCTACCTTGACTGCTGAAACAAAGCCAACATTAAGGCCGGATCATGAGAAAGGGTGCAAACCTTACCTGTCAGCCCCAGCACAGGACAACATCTTGTTGATTCGGATGACATGAAAGGGGTGAAGCCTCACTCGAATATGAAAGCCATCCTTGCCACAACTCTTTACCATGTATTTGTTGGCACAAATACGGGCAGCCTCCAGAGCTGAGTGGGGACAAATACAGCACTTAAAAATAGGATAGTGTAGAGGCAGGACTGGGGATGGAAGTCGTTAGTAGAATAAACCACGCAGAAAATCTCAGATTAATGTCTACACAGGAAAAGTCGATCAAGAAAAGGGATCTCACCTTCGGAAGAGAGTTGTTCATATTCATCTGACACCATGTGGCCACAAAGTGGGAATTCGTCAACTTTTGCCTTCTTCCGTCCCAAGTCAAAGATGCGGATTTTAGCATCTGAAAACACGTGGTATTAAGTGCCCACGGAGTAAGAAATAAGACAGCACCACAGATCCAACTTCCAAGTTTGTAAGTACTTACCAGGGACACCTCGGCAGAAGCGAGACTTTGGGTACGGCTTGTTCTTACAATACCGGTAACTGCAGGATTAAGTCAAGTGTGATTAGATGTAGCAACTAAATACGGCAAGGCTTAATAGGGAGAATGGGACAAGACCAACTGTGAATTCAGTCTCCATTACCAGAAACCGACTCTAAGGTAATATTAAACAACCTGCCACATAAGACAGAAACTAAGCACCAGTATCCCCCCCTAATCAGAATGGGGTGAGAAAGCACAATTTCTTAAGTCTTCTGAGCATGTGACATAAAACCCGCCTCAACCACGTGAAGAGAATATGGCGCCCTCTGCAGGCACGCGGCTAGGTGGCGCCTACAACCTCTTGGCCGGGCCTTGGTGTCCGGTTAAAACCACAATGCACAAGGCCGAGAAATAACAAAGATGGATACAGAAGTCACCAAAAGGGCATGGGAATCTGTATAAGGTTTACTCGAGAGACAGAAGATTGGATGCATACGCACATGCTTATAGTTCTACACAAGCGTTTTTAAACTAGTCTTGAGTCAACCCTCGCACAAGCTTGAAAAGACAAAGCTCCCAGTAAACTATTAAAAGAACCCCTGGGGTCAGTTTTTAGTTCAGGGTCGCTGAGTGGCGGAGGGTCCACCCCAAAGAAATGTCTTTGGGAAGAAATGTAACCATTTCCCCGTATTTACAGTAGAAAAATAATATATAGATTTAGCACTCACCACCGGGCGGGGCGGCGACCCATGATGACAATAGGACCGTCGGTAGCTGTAATGAAATGGCCAAAATAAGAAGAGAGACCCAAAAATAAATCTAAGAGTCCCAAAAACGAACGCGGAAAGAACCGAGAACACACTAACCAGACAACTCACTCACCGCGCCGGAGGAAAAGAGAGGCTCCCACGCCTGCACATGCCTTATATAGGCGGCCTATCTTCCAGCGAGTAACCATAGAGTCCCAGCCATTGGGTGGTGTCGACACTCTATCAGACGCCAGGATCATAGATGCAATGACGCTTTGCGCTTGTGTACGAGGCCAGCCCTAAACTTACGCAGAACGCGTTGGTGACTGGACACCGGAATTGGGAGCTGCGCGTTAGCGAATGGGGTTTCGACACATAGGCAAGAGAAACCAGCTTCCGTTTGGCCATTTTGGGCGGGGAGTCGTTCGCAGACTTTGCTGTAACATTCTAACAACATACTAAGACTTGAAAAAAGGAGGTTTGTTTTTTTTTTTTTCAGTGAAACTGGGCTGTCATGCAGATGTTCTTTCTCTAGTTTATGGGGCTGCAGATCATCACTGGTTCTGGTTTTCCTCAAGGCTACAGGAAACGGCGCAAAGCGCCATGCTTGGGACTCTGTGTTCCTTTGTCAGCAGGGAGGTTGGAGCCGGAGACCCACCCACAACGCTTCTACCTACACCGAAGAGCCCACAAAGAGCACCATGATAGGTGCTTGGTTGCTCTCAAGGGGCCAACTAAAAGCCTCCGTAGGTGACTGCGGTCGTCATCGCTAATTGGGCTCTCCCCCCACTCACTCTAAACTCTCGGGGAAGATAACTTATGTTCCCAAGGAGATTGTAAACTGTCTTTGACCACTACTTCCATTTAGAGGGCCTTGGGGCCATGCCCCAGTTGAGGCATCAGAACTCCTTTGCTCAAGGTTCCAAAAGAAAACGAAAGTGTAGCACACCATTTCTTTCACTATGACGAGTTCAAGACGTACATTTGGGTGTGTCTAGGAGGATTGGCAGCTAACCACTGACTGCTTTCCCATACAAGGTTACTATCCAGAGAGACACTAGGAGAATACTGTTCTGACCCAGGAGCACATGACTGGCTATCAATCATTGAGACTCTGAGTTCCTGGCTCTAGTGTCACCTGGGGGGGGGGGGGGTACACATGATAGGGACAGTAACTGTAAGAAAGCCATTGCCTTTTCTAGAAGTAAAGGTAGGAACTAGGAGCCTTCCGTCCCTACAGTTCACAGTGCAGCTTTTGAGTACACAGGCCCAGCTTGTCCCAACATGCTTAGGAGTCCCAGCTCCAGCCCAGAACTAGTAGGTTTCCTCTGCCTCTCCCAAATTGCTTCCCTGAGTTCCTGTAGGCTTCTGCACAGTAGTCCATTCTCAAACATTGCCATCTATCCCCTGAAGACAGCTGTGTCCAGTCAGTCCTTTCCCTGATTGATATTTGTGCAGTTGTGGAGGTGGCTGGTTCTTTAGCTGGATAAATGAAAATCTTTCTTTTTTCCTTCCTTCCTTCCTCCCTCCCTCCTTCTTTCTTTCTTTCTTTCTTTCTTTCTTTCTTTCTTTCTTTCTTTCTTTCTTTCTTTCTTTCTTTCTTTCTTTCTTTCTTTCTTTCTTTCTTTCTTTCTTTCTTTCTTTCTTCTTGAGATAGTTCTCACTATTTGTGGCCTTGGCTGGCCTGACCAAGCTGTCATTAAACTCACACATCTACTAGCTTCTGCTTCCACAGTACTGGAATTAAAGGCATATGCCACCACACCCTGACTGAACCTGGCATCTTACCACTGTGGGAAGAGATACCTCCCAGAGTCACCTACAGGTAGTCGACCTTTTCCCTTTTCACTTGTCATTCTTCTCCAACTCCCTCTGGGCTTTCATTGCTTTAGGCTTACTCGGGATGGACTGTCCTTTGCTGATTCCCAACTGCTGTGCAGCAGGTAACCTCAAGGTTAGTATCTATTTAAAGATTTATTTATTATGTATACAGTGTTCTGGGCACCAGATCTCATTATAGATGGGTGTGAGCCATCGTGTAGTTTCTGGGAATTGAACTCAGGACCCCAGAAGAGCAGTCAGTGCTCTTAACCTCTGAGCCATCTCTCCAGCCCTCAAGATTAGTGACTTCTACATGAATGACACTTCTCCAACACTTTGTTTATTTTTTTGATTTATTTGTTTATATTAAACATTTATGTATTTATTTTGGCATCTTTTTTTGTTGTTTTGTTTTGTTTTTTCGAGACAGGATTTTTCTGTGGTTTTGGAGCTTGTTCTGGAACTAGCTCTTTTTTTTTTAAATATTTATTTATTTATTATGTATACAATATTCTGTCTGCATGTATGTCTGCAGGCCAGAAGAGGGCATCAGACCTCATTACAGATGGTTGTGAGCCACCATGTGGTTGCTGGGAATTGAACTCAGGACCTTTGGAAGAGGAGGCAATGCTCTTAACCTCTGAGCCATCTCTCCAGCCCCTGGAACTAGCTCTCGTAGACCAGGCTGGTCTCGAACTCACAGAGATCTGCCTGCCTCTGCCTCCTGAGTGCTGGGATTAAAGGCATGCGCCACCACCGCCCCGGCCCTCTTTTTTAAGATTGATTTATTTGTTTATTTATTATGTATACAGTATTATATCTCCATGTATGCATGCAGGCCAGAAGAGGGCACCAGGTCTCATTCCAGATGGCTGTGAGCCACCATGTTGTTATTGGGAATTGAATTTGGGTCCTCTGGAAGAGCAGGGAGTGCCCTTAACCTCTGAGCCATCTCTCCAGTCCTTGGTCGCTTTTTCAATTAAACATTTTTTGAGAAAAGATCTGTGTTACCCTGGCTGGCTTGAAGCTATGTATGTCAGACTAGCCTCCATCTCACAGCATCCACCT